TCATTTAACTGGGAACTGCCTAAGGGGATCAAGGAAGAAGATATTGACATGGAGGGGTCACTTGGTATTACAATGCACAAGAAAAATGCTCTTCACCTTGTGGCTACTAACTATAATGATCATCACCAGTGATCATTCTTTATTTGTCGTTCTTGTTGCTGCTGCTGCTACTGTTTTTGTTTCTGCGTTTAATATTCTATTGCTTCTAATATTAATGGGTAGCCTTGATGTGTTTAGTAGCTCCAGCAAGACTAAAGTCTTAATTTACAGGAAGTTGGACCCTGATTACAGGCACATATATGGAGCATCCAATCCTATATTCTCATTAATGACTCTCCTTTTCTTATTTATTTGATACAATGAAACCATTGGAGTACTTGATAAAGAAGTCCAAGGGAATTATGTTATTTTTGTGAACTTTTCAAGTTTCATTCATTTGACTGGCACAACCTCTGAAAAGCAACCAATCTTTTCTTATAACATACAGGAACTAATGCTCTGTTTGGTTTATCAAAAAAATAAAAAGGAGTGAAACAGAAAGCTGAGGGAAAGGCTGTTGAGGAATATGACCACTAAGTGCCCATTTGGGAGAGCCTTCAGGTTATGGCTTCAAGTTTTATGACTTATGGTGCGGGTTCCGCTTTGACAGCCGATGAGAAATGGAAGGGGAGAAAGATCAAAACATTTAAACAAAATTTAGGCCCCGTTTGGTTCGCAGTAATAGAGGTCTGGAATTGGAATCGGAATGGGCTATTCCGATTCCAACTGTTTGGTTGGGCGGAATCCTAATCTCATTCCAATTCCTTCTGGTGCTGGAATGGCATTCCCCCATTTTAGAGAATGGTCATTCCCTATCCCTCTCTTGGGAATAAAATCCCATTCCTGTTGATTTTAATTCTCATTCCCATTCTTGTCTGAACTAAACAGATTATGGGAATTGACCATTCCGATTCCGATTTCGATTACAAAACAAACCGGCCCTTAAAAAGAAATACTTAAGGTTCTGTTTGGTTTGCATATGGAATCGGAATAAAAATCTGTTAGAATGGCTTTTCCATAGTTTGATTGGTTCATATGGGAATCTGAGAGCATTGAAATTAACTGGAATGAGATTTCATGCATTCCCAAGGGAGAGGGAATGACCTCTCCCTCAAATGAGAGAATGTGCCGTTTTAGCAGAAATGAGAATGATATTCTAATTCCACCCAACAAAACAGTTGTAGCAAAGATTTAAGCCATCAAAAAGTGCTCAACGCCAATAACTAAGACACGACTCAGGGTTTGAAATTTGAATACAAGAGCTCTTCGACAGGAATCACACCATTGAAAAGTTTCCTCATGAAAACATAAAATTTAGTAGGAATTCCCAGATATCCAAACTTTACTAGAACTCTCCTAGGAAGAAGATACATAAATCGATTACTAACAAAAAAAATGAGCTGCAAACCACCATTGTATGAGAAACTCTAAAGAAAACATATAAAAATGATGCAATCTTGGGAAAATTTGAGCCTTCCTATGGTTTGGGTGTGGAATTGCACTATTGCCCCTACTTTCACATGTGTATTAATACAACTTGCTTCGAAGTTGCATATCTTTTATGCCTTGGACTAGCAAAATAATGGCTTTGTATATGCATTAATTTGTAAAAATTTATATAATGTGTCTTAGACTCTTGATTAATGCATTATCAATAAAATTGCATGACATATTTGCATACTATTATATTAATTATAATATATTTCTTCATATATATATATATATCATTAAAATATACATTTCCTACGTATTTATATATTAGTTGTCACTATTTCGACCTTAAATTTAATCTTCTTAATTATGGGATTTGTATGTATTTCCTTTGCACATTCATATTTGAATTGTCTGATATTGATACTTTGCTCCTTGCTTTAAACCTTGATTGAAATTTAAAAGAGGAGATGGTCAATTAGCAAAGCATCCTAAAGGATAATGATTAATGTGAGAGGAGATTGGGGAACACCTTAAAAATAATCTCTTTCTAAGTACCATGAATTAATGTTGTTGACCCAAAAGTCAAGATGATCATTTGGCATCCCTTCAAATAAGAGGCATGAGATCAAACCTATGGCTCAGTTTAGAAAGAGTACAAATACAAACATGTAGAATGCAAAACCTTATATTTTATATTATTTCATATGTATTTGCATTGTACATATTTGTATTTGTACTCTTTTCAAACTGAGGCTATATGAAACTGAAGGCTCCCAATGGACCTCACATGTACCCTGCACTGCACCACCCCTAATTCACCTTTTATGTGTAGTATGTAAGAAAAAAATACAACGAATAATGCTACCATCAATAGTGGATAAAGAAGATCTGATCATGCTAGTTCCATTTTGTTGTCGATCGGTTCATCCTCCGGTGAATAAATGCAAATACAACAACAAGAATATTGAATAATAAATGATTTAAACCACAAGTAACCTTGTAAAGTATTAATCTCTTATAAAAATTAGTCTTAATTGATCCACCAGCTAATTCGATATATCTCTGTGTTCAATTTGTTCATACTGGGTTTAAAAGATGTTGAATTGGGGGAATGATCCTTGATGGCTGCTAAACTCCAATATTTTTTACTATTTTAGTAATCTCCTCCAATTTTAATTATTTTATACAAAGAAGTCATGCGTGTTGGAAAAACAAAGTCCAAGTTGTTAGAAAAGAAAAGCCGCGTTTAGAGTAAGATCTAGTAGGTAGACTAAGCACTCAATAAATATTCTAACAGCTGTCTTAGAAATTTGTATTTAATCTTTTCAACAATAGGTTAGGAGTCATTTGAAAAGAATATAAGTACAATTCGGTGCAAATACAAATATGTCTCGTTCATAAAGCTCTGTTTGTTTGCGATGCATACATCGAACCAGGGTATTTATGTACTCTGGTTTATAATTGTGAGCATTTGTTTGATATGTAAAAAAGTAATGATTATCAGATTAAAAATGTATTTTTTCACACTTTTGTATTCTGAGAAGAGAGTATTACTTACCTATTTTTGGATACAATTTTGTGTTATTATGATAATTAACTTTTTGGTCAAAGTTAAGGCATTGGAGGATCTAGAGCATAAGATAGTTGGGGCAATTAATGATGGCCTCACACTTTTCACCAATTTCGAACAAACAAGATGAGTGCAAAAACAGTTTAAAATATGAAATCGTGTTTGCATTGCAACCAAACACAATGATTTCATACATTTTACAAATGAGTTTTAGGGCCTATTCGTTTCCTCTTAACTCTTATCTCTTAAGAGGAATCTTTTAACTTAAAGGAAAAAATGGTTGTTCATTTCCTCTTATCTCTTATCTCTTAAAGTGCAATCATAAAACTTTTTGTTTCTAATGATATCCCAAAAAGACAAACAAAAACTCTCACATATCGGGTCAAAATGGATATTTGATAATTTTCAGAATGCAGAATTCAGAATTAAGAACAACATTCTCTTTATTTAAAGTTCAAAGGAAAGAAAATGTCACCAATACCTCTTAATGTAATTATTATACTTTCAGATGTCAAACTGAGCAAACGAGAAAGCCCTTAATTGTGATCGGTGCAAACACAAATTCCAAGATTGGAATCCACCTTTTAAATTTACCAATTTAGATGCATTCTTCACATTCATTGTAACACAAACATATCTTGAAGTTTGTGATTTCTGTCATTTTTTATACACATGCATTCTCACCAAATGTCTTGTAAAACTAAATTAGAGTGCATAAATACACCAAACTGACATTTGCTTTCTTCCCAAATGGAGCCTAAGGCTTAGTTTGAAAAGAGTACAAATACAAATTTGTAGAGTACAAAACCTTACATTTTATATTATTTTATATGTATTTGTACTATACATATTTGTATTTGTACTCCTTCCAAACTGAGCCTAATGCTTAGTTTGGAAATAGTACAAATGCAAATATGTACTGTGTAAATACATATAAAATAATAGAAAATACAAGGTTTTGCGCTCTACATATTTATATTTGTAAGGAATACAAATACAAAAATGTACGGTGCAAATATATACAAAATAATATAAAATATAAGGTTTTGCACTCTACATATTTGCATTTAATTTGTACAATTAAATAGGCCTATTATGCGCACAATTTGACACAAAAATTTGCAAAAATGGGTCTTAATTTATGTACACACTTATCGTTAGGGAAGCTTTATTTTAGTGCTTCCCGCAATAGATAAACATTATTCACTGTTTTGCTGATTTTGGTGCATGATAACGCTTAGTGATGCCTAAAGTGTCAATGAACAAATTCATTATTATTTTTATTGATTTTATAAATAAATCAAATATTAGTGAATAAACGCCAATCATTCCAAACACACAGTGTGTTCATACTTAAGTGGATCCGGATCTGGTTTGAAACAACAGGTAGGCACACTCCATGGCACACTGAGTAAACACAAATAGTTTTCTAACACATGTCCTCCAGGAAGTAGCAGGAATTGTTTTTATTATTAGGTAAAAAACGAAACTTCATTCAAACATTAGGATGTATCAAGGTTCAAGGAATGGAAATACCATCAGGATTCATCTGGTAAGAAGTCTAGTCAAGCAATAAATTAAAATAACATAAATGATCCTGTATGACTGTATCCTTCGGCCTTTTCTCTTGAATAAACAAAAAATTCTGAAGGGTTAGTTGGGTGAAATGAATCAGCTTGGCATAA